TCACATGTGAAACTGCCTTTGTTAGGCAGATGTTTGCAAAGTGAGTTTGAGTTTGAGATAAGGTTTAGTTCACTATTAAACAATGGAGATAAACACTTGTCCTGGACATGTGAGCAATTTCCATTTAGTTCCACTTTTAAAATCCCTGTATGTGTACAGGCTTAGGTAAAGGCCATTTGCAGATGTGTGAAAGTTTGTGGTGTTTTTGTATCTTTCAGCTATGGCTTCTGACTGTCATGAGTTGTTCCTAAGGGGTGAGACCACAAGCGGGCTGTTCACCATCCAGCCAACTGACTCTGAGCCTTTTGAGGTCTTCTGCGAAATGACACCCGGTGAGTGGCGCGAACCAATTTTCTGCCACTTTTATTTGTCCATTTATCTCACATCCCTCTTAAATGAGCATCTATTGCTTCTTTGTTCATAAACCACATTGGATATCGCCTCCCCATCCCCAAAGCATCACTCAGAACAGCTTGTAATCCTCTTGTTTTGTGCGTGTATCCACAGAAGGAGGATGGATAGTCATCCAGAGACGCCAAGATGGATCTGTAGACTTCGATCAACTTTGGCAGGCATACCAGACTGGCTTTGGGAACCTTAATGGTAAGAATCCAATGTGAACTGACTTAATTTTGCATGTGACCAACAGGCTCTGAGCAAATAGCCACATCTGTCAGTACACTTTGATTAAGGCGTAGAGATTTACTCACTAATAAGGGTTATAGAGTGGCAGACTAAGGATAGAGGATCAGATCAATTCTGGCTGGAGAGAAAACATTGTCAAATCCTGTATCCCTAATGCCCTTAAATGATTTAATTGCAGAGTGACTAAATCTCCTGACCTATTCCTAGACCAGAGTACACAGAGTTCTTAAATATCCCTCTTAAATGTCGCTTTCAGGCGAGTTCTGGCTTGGCCTGGAAAAGATCCATTCTGTGTCCAAGGGCGGCAACTACATCCTCAAGGTGCAGTTCTCTGACTGGCGGGATGAAGTTCAGACCATCAACTACCCTTTCCGTCTGAACGGCAAGGAGAGCAACTATTCCTTGCGCATTCTGGGGAGTCCTGCCGGGAACCTGGAGAGCTTTCTGTCCACCGAAATATCTGGAGTGCCCTTCTCCACCCGCGACAAAGACAACGACCAGAAAAATGACCTCAACTGTGCCAAACAGCTATCAGGTAGCATCATGATGCCATGGGCCATAAAAGGGTTTTTTCTTTGTGGCTGATGTTGTGGTTCTAAGTGGTTTCTATTTTTGGCTTTCCAGGTGGTTGGTGGTTTAGCAATTGCGGTCGCTCAAACCTGAATGGCAGATATTTTGTTACTCCTGCACCAAAGCAAAGGCACCAGAGAAAACAAGGAGTGTTCTGGAAAACCTGGCGCGGCCGCTACTACCCACTGAAAACCACCACCATGAAGATTGCACCTGCCGAGATCGAAAACAAGTCATAGAGGACCTCCGCTGAGATCTTAACCAATGATATGGGTGGAGAAACCACAATTCGTAACCTGCCAAAATAACATGTTGGTGCTGAAAAGTTCTATAGCTCTAAGGAGTGTCTACTGTTGTTTGTTAGAACAGACAAAGTCTGAATCATGAAAGTGGTGGACTCTCAAATCTGCGCAAAAATAGGCTCTTTTATTTAGAACTAAATGTGCCTGGAGCTCTGCAAGCAGCAGCATGTTTTAAATGGTGCAGGCCACTGTAAGGATCTGCTACATGTTTAGATAAATCTGGCAGGGTGACGTCAAAAGACCTGATGGTTAAGCACAATTGCAAGCACTTTCCAAAAGCTAAAAAGCTTGGGGAAGAAATGAGCCTTGCCACTAAAATACGGACCAAATAAGCTATATAAGCTTAAGCCAGTACTTTTGAGAATGCTTATTGTCTCAAGGCATTATCCACAGACAAAGACATGTATTAGTAGATCTGCAGAACATTGAAAGTTCGTTGCCTGACAATTCATTTTAAGTATCTAAACGTGGAAGTTATTTTCTGGTACGCATACGCTGTCTTTCAAAAGCTTAAATGATCTGAGACTACTTGTGTATTTTACTGTTTTGAAATCAAATGAGGAGTTCCTGTGGAGATTCATTTTCTCAGTCACATTGACTGCCTTTATATGTCTATAGCTGTCACTTCTCTGTAAATAACAGAAACATGCATTTTCTTCATAGCATTGCCGCTGTATTCTTGCCAACTTTAAAAGGTCATGCTCCGATTTCCATATTATTTAAATGTTGTAGAAAAAATCATTATGTATTTCTTTAACTTTTTACTTATAATTTATGTTTTCCAAGAAGTAAAACATTTTGTTATTGTTTTTATAAAAAATGGTTGGTCTTGAAGAGACCAATAAAATGTATTTTAAAAACTGTCAGTGTCACGGAAGTTCTTGCACTAAACACAAACTTAATGCAAAGTGGGCTTGTTTAGATCAGTATGAAGTGCTAAGCAGGTATACGCAGCTCCTATCAGAGCTGAGGGTTAAATGCATCTACATACTCATGAGACGACAAGTGATGCTGGAATGTCCTGACGGTGCTCAAGCTTGCTCAGTGCCCTAGAGACAAGAAACATAACTAATATAATTGAGCAGATGGCTCCAAACATACCCAAAAGTCATGCATACAGTTGAACTGCTGTTACTTAACAGTCAAAAACACTCGTAAAACCAACTTTTATCATAGGAAAAAGCTTTTTTAGTCTGAATTGAAGTAAAAATGACTATGTCCCTGAATGTTCCCACAGGAGTGTTGCCATATGGTCTTAACAACACGTGAACCTTACTTAGCGGAAATCAGCTTATTCTTCTGCCTTGACTTTAAGTAACTAAAGTTGCATTGGCTTCCGAGTGTCACACTCAATGTTTCACACCTGAGAGAAATTCTTAACGTGCCAAATCGTCACTAATGGGCTTTCAGTTACTTACTTCCAGATGAGTTTAGTGTATTTAACAGTCAAATGCTTTTACGGTTTAAGAGAGGAACAACTGTCTTATCACCTTTGAAAGAAAGTTATCTTTTCTGCTGTGATAAGGTCATGTGTAGACAAATAGAATCAAACTGAAATGTGTTCAGGGTCTACATGTAAAATCCTGCTTTATAATAATTACAGATACTTTTGACCTTCACAGGCTTAAAGGTAACAAGATTATGCACTTTATACTGACATGGAACTGATATTATGAAACAAGGTCACTGCATGTAGTTCATTTATGTACAGTACATGGAATTTATTAAGAGCATCACAGCCAATTGAAAACTAGGCCATTGCACAAACATAAAGACATGTTTCATAATATAACAGCCATTACGTTTAGCCCTTACGGCTCTTATAGCTTCATTCAACAGTCATCCTGCCTATTAATTCCATTAATATATTGTTACTGTATTAAGAACCACTGGAGCGGAACATTACCAAGAAAACTGACAAATATTATTCAGTTATGACACCTTTGATTATCTTTAATCCTGATGGTCCACTCGGCACCCTTTGCTGTTCTGTATTTTTATTTTATTTTATATCTGTTTTGCATTTCACTAAACATCATTGTACATTTTGCTGCCAACATCTGAAGGCAAAAACATTCTAGACAAATTTAGAAGCATTTTAGGCAAAATATACAAAACAGGTCTGCCATAGCTTTCCCCTGATGTGTGTAACTAATATACATTGCAAACCAAAAATACAATTAATTTTTTACATAATAAAAAAGTAGATTTGTTTTAACAGTTAAAACTAATTTTGACATAGGGCTTTCTTTCTTTCTTGTGTGGAACACTGAGGCTGAGTTTTTTTTAACGATAA